GGCCCGCATCGAGAGCATGAGCCCGGAGGTGACGGACTCCAACCCCTACAGGTGCGGCCGGGGGGCGAGGGGAGAGGTGCTCTCAAATTTCCCACTTGGCTGGGTTGGCAGGGGTGTACCTCGGGGTTACTTTGTATTATCTTGCTCTACAGTACGGAGAGAGAGGAAACTGAGTTTTTCAGCTACGTCTCTAATAAATGGGGCAGGTGTTGGTATTATGTGAGATCTTACTCTCATTCCTCTAACTTACCTATTTTAGAGTTTGGTTTAGAGAGGTCTTGAGCATCTGGGACCCCTTCTAATGCTCAGCGCTTCTGGAAATCTGATGCATTATTTTTTTTCAGGATGAATTGCTTTAATACAAATCGATATTTGTAATTTCATTGTTACTTTCAATGAAAAAATGCAGTAGCAGGATAAAATGTTACTTTAAAATTCTTCCAGTTATCCTCACAACCTGATATTCTCTAATTTATTTATTTTTTAATGTTATGTTGGAGTAAATCTAATCAAATTGATCAGAAAACAGTGGAAGAGTCTTCACTGGCCTGCTGCCATATGGTTCGTTCCGGAAAAAAGTGTAGGCTTTCATTCTGTAAATCAGGGATTCATTTACAAAACCAGCTATGGGTCCTCTTGATTTCATTGATGTTATTCATACCAACTGAATAAGTACATGAGTTTCTGCAGGGTTAGTACTCTGTTGCTGTTGCTAAAAGGAAAGCATCTACTATCTCATTTAGACTGTATCTAGCTGGCAAGTACAACTGCAGTGAAAACAGCAGGCTTGAGTTTGGTGCTTGGTGGGGTTATTTTTAAAGCAAAAGTGATTTTAAATATCTGAAAAGCAAAATTGTTATTAGAAAGAGAGCATTTTCTGTATAATGCTGCTGTTTTTCTTTGTAGTCGCTTGATGGCGTTAAAAAGAATGGGAATTGTCAAAGACTATGAGGTAGGATTCTATCTGCATTAAAACAGCCTTGCATTTTTTCCCTGTGAGGACCATTTTTGATATACTGATCTGTATTTTATTTCTTTCTGCAGAAAATCCGTACCTTCACAGTTGCAGTAGTAGGTGTAGGTGGAGTTGGCAGTGTGACTGCTGAAATGTTGACAAGGTGTGGCATTGGTAAGGTAATGAGAGTTTCCTTCTTCTACTTCTTTATAGTAGATGGACCGGTCTTCTTCATAAAGAGTTGGATTCAATTTCACTCAGTTGATTTTGCCCAAATAAAAAAGTACTGTGAAGAAAGCACTCAGGAACAGCACTTGCATAAACGTCACAAATGAAGAGTCTGTATTTTTCTTATGCTAGTAAAATTCTTTTACTTGGGGCTTAATCCTGTATCATGTGGATGATTCTTGTTTGGATGCTTGTCTTCTCCGTGCTCTTGTATGAGCCCATCTGTCTAGCCTTCATACTGGATTATTGCAAAAGGAAGAACAAAAATAAGAAAAAGGAGGGGGTTACACGCATAGAAGATTAAGTCTTATGTTGTGAGAACAAGCTGATATTCACGAAATTGAAATGGCGTAGATGTCAAACATATCTTTTATCACAAACATTAGTTCATCATGTGGCAGACTTAGAGCTAAAAATTTAGCAGCAGTTAAAATAATTTGATGTGTGTATAGATAACAAGAACCTCCAGAGTTAATGGAGCAGGATTTTTCTTTAAAGGAGGAATTTGGGGAATGGCTTAGATGTTTTTGTATTTCCAGGCAAAGCCTGACCATTTACTCTTGGAACTTTAAGAAGTTTCTTAATACAGAGGTGATGCAATTTTTTATTGCAAAGTTTATTCCCCCTTCCTCTGAAGGAGCATTTCTTGAAGACCAGCATCTTGGGCATAGAAAAGGACATTGGACAGTTGATTCAGAATTTATAATGATCCAACATGTCCATGTATTATGTAGGTATTTTAAGTGAATTGTTTTTGAAGAACTACATGCCAAGACAGGTGAAAGAAATTACATATTTCTAGCTAATGCCATAACAGCAAGTAGGAATGTGATAACAGTTGATAGTGTTCATGTAGATAATCTGTTGAATATTCTTAGTTTAGATCAAATGAACAGATTGCTTTTTATTAAGAGTGGTTT